TATATATATATATATATATATATATATATATATATATTTTTTTTTTTTTTTTTTTTTACAATCAACAAGGACAATTCTAAAGTTTGCAGAGATGTGTAAACTGTGCCTGAGACCTCCTGTTTAAAGGTGGTTTTTCTCATTTGACGTAAATGGCTTCCTTCACCCCCCTCTCAAACCATCCGTCTTCTCTGTCTAAATTATGGACATTTTGGTCCTCAGAGCAGAGTCTTGTCCTGAAGAGCTGCTCTCCAGTGTTGAGCCATGCGTCTGTGGAGTGTTTGTTCAGGTTCTCCAATAGAGGTGTGAACAATCCTCACTGCATTGAACTGAGGACGCCACAGCACCTGGTTTGGGGGTTCCGTCCTCAGGATGGACCAGCTTCTGTCCGAGAGTCCTGTTGGGTTTGAAATGTACTGCAATGTTGTTTAGAGAAAATCCATCTGAGTTTTTCAGATATTCCAGCAACAAATGGGAGGAGTATTGGTGTTTGTTCTTCCCCCTGTTCGGTTTTTTAGATTTCCATGCCCAATTGACTAAAGCCCAGTTAGGATATCCACTAGAGCTCTTTGGATGAGTTTCTGTACCTTTTCCTTTTCTTCCGTCTCCGTGGGGACATGTTTGACTCGGACATGTTAAGTTAAGGCAAAAGAGAGCCCATTACACCAGTTTTGGCCTCACTGCACTGGTTACCTGTTCACTTTCGAATCCAGTTCAAAATACTCATGTATGTCTACAAATCACTGAACAGTTTCATCCCCCCAGCCCACCATCTCTCTGATCTGCTACAACCGTATGTCCCACCACGTTCCCTGAGGTCAGCAGACCAGTTGCTCCTCACAGTTCCAGGAACTCGTCTTAAGCGCAGAGGTGACGGGGCCTTTTCTGTAGCAGGACCAAGACTCTGGAATGAGTTACCTCTGCTTGTCAGACAGGCCCCCTCCCTCTCGGTTTTCAAGTCCCGTTTAAAAAACCACTACTATTCGGTAGCTTTCAACACCAGATGATCTGTGTTTTGAACCTGTATGCTCCACACTGGTTTGTCGTCATTATCTGCATCGTTTTTATGACTATATTCTGATTTACTTCATTTTGTATATTGCTTTGTGTGTTACCTGTTGTTCTGTCTGTACAGCACTTTGGTTGGCCTTGTCGCTGTTTTAAGTGCTCTATAAATATAATGGTATGGTATGGTATGGTAAGTTCTTTTTTTTTTTTTTTTAAATTTGCACATTTTTATTGATAATTTTTCCATACAAGTGTACATACAGACAAATTTTTCTTTTTCCAGATGTTCCATACATATCAAACCAAGAAAGTCTGCACATAACATCTGTAACTGCCTCAGACATAACAACTTTGCTAATCTAGATAATATCCAATCATTTCCTTTTTAACAACAACAACAAAACAAAACAAACAAAAAAAAAAAAAAAAAAAAAAAAGAAGAGGAAAAAAAATAAAATAGAACAAAACTGTACGTAAACTATTTGCAGCCTGTAGCTCTAAGGGTTCCTGTAACCACACTATTAAACGATAAAGTCTGATCTCCAGGATGAAACAAAACCCCGCCAATTTTCCCAATAATTCCTAAATTTTCCAGATTCTAATCTGATGGAAAAAGTCAGCCTTTCCATAATATAAATATTATGCATTATGTCAACCCAATCTTCCCTCTTGGGAGCTTCTGCCTTCAGCCATTTCCTAGTAATGGCTTTTTTGCTTGCTACCAACATAACCCTATACATATATCTATCGCCTGCTCTTGTGATCCTTTCCATCCCTCTTCCCATGTACAGATCCTCAAATGTAAGTGGAATATTCACCCCCAGTACCTTATCCATACAAGTCTTTACATCCCGCCAATAGGGTACCATGAAGGCACAATCCCAAAATACATGGTAGTGCCCTGCTCTATCTTTTCCACATTGCCTCCAGCATCTCGTATCTTGATATTTTCTTTGTGCTGGTGTACTAAAATATCTTACAATATTCTTCCATCCAAACTCTCTCCACGAAAGGGAACAAGATGTTTTCCACTGTTCCCCACATATCTCCTCCCAGTTCTCCTGTGAGAGCCCACAATTAGCATCTTTTTCCCATCTTGCTTTTATGTATATTGTATCACTCTTCTTCAAATTTTCCAATTCTGTATACAGTTTTGAAATTATTTTCTTTCCCAAATTTGATTCATATGCTGAAATAAACATCTTAATTATACCAGATTGAATCTCAATTAAATTTGCCCTTCTTAGTAGTTCCTCCGTATAATGCCTCAATTGTAAGTACCTGTAGAAATCCTTGTTGTTTAATTCATATTTGTTCTTTATTTCTTCAAAGCTTTGTATAGTATTTTTCTTAACCATCTCCCAGATTATCTTTGGACCCTTTTCCCATTTACTAAATGTTTTGTCTGTTACATTAGGTTTAAAATCTGAGTCATGAGCTATCCACCTTAGTACTCTACCCTGCTCTGTCAACCCATATTTAACGATAATTTTATTCCATATGTCAAGAGATAATCCTAGCCATGGATTTGATTCCTTCCTGAGGTGTTTTCTCAATTTGTTATCATTTATTATGGCTTGTAGAGGCATCTTGGGTGACATGGCGCATTCTATATCTTTCCATTTTGCAGAATATAATATGTTCAGTAGAGTACTCAACTGTGCTGCAATATAGTAGCTCTTCAGACAGGGTAAGGCTAGCCCCCCCTTATCCTTCGATAACTGCAAGGTTCTGAATCTGACCCGTGGTTTCCTTCCTTGCCAAATGAATCTCGATATAATTTTATCCCATTCTGCAAATTCTTTATCCGTCACCTCAACTGGGAGAGATGTAAATAAATACAGTAACCTTGGCAACACATTTGTTTTAATCATTTCTACTCTTGACACTAAGCTTGTAAAGGGGATTAGACTCCACCTTCCCATATCTGACTTTATTCTCGACACCAAGGGGCTAAAGTTTAAAGATTTTAGTTCAGATAAGTCATGGGACAGAAACACTCGAGGTATTTCAGAGAATTTGACTGCCAATCCCAACTAAATGTGTTTTTAATGAATTGGTCAGGTGAATGGTTGAAAGAAAGAACCTGGGTCTTTTTTGTGTTTAATTTGTAACCTGACATCAGCCCAAATTCATCCATTATACTAATTAGTGCTGGAAGTGACGTGCCTGGTTGAGATAGGTAAATTAAAACATCATCTGCAAATAATGCTATCTTTTGTTCCCCTCCGTCCATACATATACCCTTTATATTTCCGTTTTGTTTTATCCATTGGCTTAAAGGTTCTAAATATATTGCAAACAGCAGTGGGCTAATTGAGCAGCCTTGGCGGCATCCTCGATGTAATCTAAATGTTTCTGAAAGGCTCCCATTAATTTTGACCCTAGCTGTGGGTTGGTAATATAGTGCTTGAATAATTTTGATAAATGTTTTGTTAAAACCAAATTGTTCTACCACCTTATATAGGAAGTCCCACCTGACCGAGTCAAAAGCTTTTTCTGCGTCTAATCCCAATATTACCGCTTCTGTTCTTGTTTTAATAATCTTTTGCATTACCAGCAATGTGCGCCTAATATTATCCTTTGTCTGTCTTTTCTTTATAAATCCTGTTTGGTCTAAATCAATTATGTCCGGCAGAATTACCTCTAGTCGTCTAGCCATAATTGCTGTAAATATTCTATAGTCTAAATTTAGGACGCTAACTGGTCTATAGTTGGCACAGTCTAATTGATCTTTTCCTTCCTTTGGAATAACCGCAACAAAAGCTTCCCTCCATGACCTTGGTGTCTCTCCCTCTTTTAAGACCCAATTAAACGTATTTTTTAGCAAGGGGATCAACGGTTTTCTTAGCAATTTATAAAATTCCGACGGGTAACCATCTGTCCCCGGAGCCTTGTTGGTTTTCAATCTTGAAATTTCTGAGTCTATTTCTTCTTCTGTAATCTCCTTTGTTAATATACGATTTTGATCTTCCGTTATTCTTGGTAACTTCAGAGATTCCAATAATGTCTGTATTTGATTATAATTATTAATTTCTGCTTGTGAATATAATTTTTTATAATAGTTTTCAAAACAATTCTGAATCTCTTCTGTCTTATATTTGATCAAGTTAGAGGAGTCCCTAATTTTGAAAATATTATTATTTGCCACTTGCTTTTTCATTCTATAAGCTAGTAATTTAGCTGATTTACCTCCTCCTTCGTAATACCTTTGTTTTGTGTACAGAAGGTTTTTTTTTATTTCATCTTCCAAAATGCAGTTTATCTCCGTTTGTATTCTTTTAATTTCTTGAGATCTTTTTTCATCCAGAGAGAAGTTTTTGTGTTGTTCCTCCAAGTCTTTTAATTCCAATTGTAATTCTCTAAGTTTACCCTGCTTTTGCCTTTTTAAATATGCTGATTTGGCAATTAGCTTCCCACGAAGTACTGCTTTGCATGCATCCCACAGCGTAGCTGGGGATACCGCCCCATTATTATTTTCCTTTACATATATATCAATTTCTTTCACAAGTTCTTCCTTCATATTCCCCTGTAATAAGCCTGCATTTAGTCTCCACATTGTTGTTTTTGTTTCTGTTGACACTTCCAGGGTGATATATACTGGACTATGATCTGATACATCCCTTACTCCCATGTCACAATTTTCCACTCTGTATCGATCCTTATCATACATAAAGAAATAGTCGATTCTTGAATAAACTGAGTGAGGTGGTGAGAAGTATGTGTAATTTCTGCCTGATGGATTTAGCTCCCTCCAGACATCCATTATTCCCAGTTCGGTATGGTAAGTTCTAATGACAAAAAGTTTGATTCGTTTCTCAGGAAATGCAGGTTTGTTGACTTCAGGTTTAGCAAAGAAAGTTTATCTTAAATTAGGCAGACCAAAGTGAAACTAACTAGATTTTAAAACATGGTGCATATAACATTTTCTTTGATTGTTGGTTTCCATGAGCCCATCTCCAACAGTTCTTTGCCCAGCTAAAGGTTGGTGCTTAGTTAACACTGGCTTTTCACACTTTTCATGTTGTGGAGAACAAAAGAGCTAATAAGTGAGATCACGTTAGAGGTTTAACATTGGAACTTATGTAAATTTGGTACTTACCTGGTTGGAAGGTGCACCCATAGGGAGAGGAGGCGTGGACCTCTGAGCCATAGACTGCATCCCCATCTGATTGAACTGGTTCATCCCTAACAACATCCACAAACAATTATCAGACACAAAACAGAGTTGTTTGTTTTGTTTTTTAATTTTAATCTTTGGCTTAAATAGAATTGCAAGCAGAACTAAGACGTTAACTAAGACAATTGGACTCGTTTTGTGATCGACCAGAGAACAGAGAACTAATTTCACCATTGTATGGGAACATATAGCACTTACTTCCTTACTAAAGTTGGCGTGTAAATACAGACTAAAGGGGTGGGGGGGACAATATTGCTGGAAACCTAACTATCCATTCATGTAAGCCACTTGAGTTTTTGATAAGAAAATATAACAATTACTTTAAGAAACATCAGTGGGGGGAATAAAACATTAAGCCACAAACACTGATAAAATAAATTTATCTATAACTTCATTTTAGTTTTGTTGAGTTGAAGGAGGGATGAAATGTTTTCTTCTTCTAAAAAACACTTGAGACTTACAGGGTTAACAATCAGACTGAGGACAAAAACCAGAGGTCAAATAATGCGATGGGTTCTTTACCTGGGCCCTGCATCCTGTTTACCATCTGATTAGCTCCAGGCGGCCGCACCGTGGATGGATCAGGGAGTGGACCATCTAAAACAACAATCCACCAGTTATATTGTTGCACAAGGAAAAAGAGATGGATGTACACATAAATAGGACGATTTTCAGTTTCAGAGTTTATCAGAGTATTCAAAAGTCAATGTCAAAACCCTTAACATTTTTTTTGGTCACACCGCTTTACATGTTTTAATGAGAAACCAAACGTGCTGGAGAAAAAAGTCTTACTGTTTATACAGTCTGTGTGTTTGTCTCGTAGTAAAACAGTTCATGAAGCACCAAATGAACTTTCAACTATCAAGAAGTGATAAGTAATGTCATATAAAATGTCATATAATATATATAAATGTACAAACCAAACACTAGGTAGAGGTAGGGCTAGGCGATTTATCCAATATGCTCAAAGTATCGAGAGTTTTTCAATTTACGACAATTAAAATGGCTCTATTGCAACCATCGAGTATTATTAGACTTGAAAATCCGTGTAGTTCTTTTTCTCCCATCTGCTCCAACTTCACACATTCCCTCCTTCTAGTGTTTTAGTACTCGAGACCGGTCTTGGTCTTGAGACCGGTCTTGAGACCACTTTTTGATAGTCTCGGTCTTGTCTCGGACTAGGCCACATTCGTTCTCAGTCTTGTCTCGGTCTAGGACAATGAGAATTTGGGATTTTATTTCAAAACCATTCAAGACCATCACTAAATTGCCAGAATATTGTCCAGTTTATTTTTCAACATTCTTGCTTTAATTGGATGCAAAACGCATCGATTCAAATCCGAGCGATAACGTGACTCATTGCTAATACATTTTTGCTACTGCTGTCACGCAGCGCCCACCCCTTTACCTCATGTGCGTCCTCGTGTTGCCAGTTTGGGCAGTTTACTGCCAACTGGGATGTTTTCATTCCGATTTTGCTGGGAACTCTGAGAAGATTTTTGTTGGACTGTTGCATTTTGCCACATATTGTTAAATTACCTTGGCTTATACTGATGTTCGTTCATGTTCAAACAGTAAATATACTGTAACAATATATTGACTGGGCAGATTTTTGTGTGATATAGTGGTTTTTAACAGATTTTTGGGCTGGAAAACAACTATCTGGCAAAACTTGTCACTCCAGTGAGAAGAAATTTTCTGGGAGCGGGGGAGAAGATGTCTGCCAAATCATCAGTTATAAAATTTGTCTATTTAAATCAGAAAGAATATATTTGTCAAGCAACATTGAGAAAAAAAGCACACAGGTAACACAGTAAGTTCTGCAGTGCTTCACTATCAAAGATGGTCGGACTATGTCCAACTTATCAACACCTGGAACGGAAGCACAAAGAATGATAAGCTATAAGTGATGATAGTAAAGCTAGCTAGTTAACGTTAGCAATCCGCCTCTGTTCCAAGAATACAGACAGCAGAACGTTTTATCAGCGTGGTCTTGTTAGCAGCACTAGCGGACCTTGTTGTTAGCATGTCCCGCTTGCAACTTGATGGTAATAATGTCGACCGCAGCAGCTACCTCCCAGACTGCCCTCCAGAACCAGGTCGGCAGAGAGAGAACATCCAAAGTTTCCACACGGAACCAAACAGGTCTGTAGAGTTTGGTCGATAAAGGCAGATGGAGATGTTAGCAACGTTAGCGGGTCCGGCTAGTTTAATTTTTGCTTATGATAAACAATAACGAGACATGCCACAAAAAGCTGTGTAGCTAATATTAAGTTACACTGACATTAGTTAATGTTAGCTGCATACAGCTCCTGACATTAAAGCTAAGCGCCAAGGTGATGCTTCCTCGTTTGGCTGAGAGAGCTCACCTTATGGGCAGAGAGTGGAGACTTAAGTAATATAATGTCTCAACTTATGAGAATGACTAATAGGTTGCTATGTATGGATATAGATTCACTTCTTGGTCTGCTGCCTTCACTTCTTGGTCTGCTGCCTTAATACATCTCCTCCTACATGTCTCTGCGTGAGTGCAGCTACGGAGTGCACTCTCAGGACATTATTACCTGCAAAGTTCCCTCAATGAGGACTGAACTAGGCAAAAGGGCCTTCTCCTACTCTGCTCCTGTTTCCTGGAAAATCTTACAAAAAGATTCGAAGCTCTTGACCTTGACCTCTCTAAGTGGCTTTAAGAATCTGTTGGTCTCCTGGCAGGGACCAATGCAGACATGTTCCTGTTTTTAGTTTTCTACATTCGCCTTAGAATCTAGCTGGTTTTTTTTTTTGTTGTTGTTACCTTTTCTTTTTAGCCATCCTATTTGTAAAAAAAAAACCAAAAAAAAACCTGCAGTATGACTTTTTATAATTGTTTATTGTTGTTACTGTTGTCCATTGTTGTCATCTTTCTTTGTTGAAATCAGGTCTCTCTTGTAAATGAGTCCTCGGGGCTCAATGGGATTTACCTGTCTAAATAAAGGTTGAATAGGCAAATTCCTTTTAGAGAGCTACTTTTAAGTTCCAATTTATAAATACTGTTTTTATTAACCTTACCTTGCACTATATCTTGTAATATAACCTCTGTAAATAAAGGTTGAAGGAATGAAATTCCGTTAAGTTTCCAGAGAAGTCTCCCGAGGGAGAATAGACCCGGAAGTAATGATCCACAGCATCGAGTCAAAAAGGAAGTTGTCTGACGTCATTGTGAAAAGGGCCTATTCATGTCTAATACAGGCCTCTAACTGTTCAATTGTCTTGGGCCTTCTTTGTCGCACCTTCCTCTTTATGATGCACCAAATGTTCTCTATAGGTGAAAGATCTGGACTGCAGGCTGGCCATTTCAGTACCCGGATCCTTCTCCTACGTAGCCATGATGTTGTGATTGCTGCAGAATGTGGTCTGGCATTATCGTGTTGAAAAATGCAGGGTCTTCCCTGAAAGAGATGACATCTAGATGGGAGCATATGTTGTTCTAGAACCTGAACATAGTTCTCTGCATTAATGGTGCCTTTCCAGACATGCAAGCTGCCCATGCCACAAGCGCTCATGCAACCCCATACCGTCAGTGATGCAGGCTTCTGAACGGAGCGTTGATAAACACTTGGGCTATCCTTGTCCTCTCTGGTCCGGATGACATGGTGTCCCAGTAAAGAACTTCAAATCGTGACTCATCTGACCACAGAACAGTCTTCCATTTTGCCACACTCCATTTTAAATGACCCCTGGCCCAGAGCAAACGTCTGAGCTTGCTTAGAAATGGCTTCCTTATTGCAATGTAGAGTTTCAGCTGGCAACGGCGGATGGCACGGTGGATTGTGTTCACTGACAATGCTTTCTGGAAGTATTCCTGAGCCCATTCTGTTATTTCCTTGACAGTGGCATTCCTGTTTGAGGTGCAGTGACGTTTAAGGGCCCGGAGATCACGAGCATCCAGTAGAGTTTTACAGCCTTGACCCTTACGCACAGCGATTGTTCCAGATTCTCTGAATCTTTTGATGATGTTATGCATGGTTGATGATGATAACTTAAAAGTCTTTGCTATTTTATGCTGGGTAACACTATTCTGGTATTGCTGCACTATCTTTCTGCGCAACAATGGTGGAATTGGTGATCTTCTTACCATCTTGGCTTCTGAGAGACACCGACACTCTGAGAAGCTCTTTTTATACCCAATCATGTTGTCAATTGACCTAATTAGTGTTAATTGGTCTTCCAGCTGTTCGTTATATGAACAATTTCCTTTTTCCAGCCACTTATTGCTACTTGTACCAACTTTGTGGGGATTTGTTGACACTGTGAAATTTTGAATCAACATATTTTTCCTTTAAAATGTTACATTTACTCAGATTAAACTTTTGATCTGTCATCTATGTTATATTACAAATAAAATATTGACATTTGCCATCTCCACATCATTGCATTCAGTTTTTATTCACAATTTGTTTAGTGTCCCAAGTTTTTTGGAATCCGGTTTGTTTGTAACTTTTTAGGTGTATATCTACTACTTTATTGAAACCACTGTGCAACTATATAGTTATTCATGGTCTTGAGTTTGGATTTATGAAGAGAGTTTTGTCACTACAGTTTTTAAGACTTTGCATATGATGTTGGTTACGTACTGTAACCCCAGATTCTATGAGTATAGGCATAGCCCTTTAAGGCTGTCGCTGACGGGTTTTATCCCGTTATGCGAAGCATTACACTGAAAAATTTAGTCCACGCCCACCTGCTGTGTGGGCCCCACCCGGTCCGTATAAATTACATTAAGAGCGGGTAATCGGCTCCCAAATAGCTTTTTCTTCAGCCACTTAGGAGCCAGTGAGGCACGACGCTTAAAGGGCTACGCCTATATTCATAGAATCTGGGGTTATAGTATGTAACCAACGTTCTATTTCATATAGGCTTCGCCCTTTAAGGCTGTCGCTGATGGGTTAAGAGCGAAGCAGATGTGGTCCTCACCTCACTGGGTCCATTCGAACACCGTATTAAAAGGAAGCTTGCTCAAAAAACGTCTTGTCACTCAGCTCCCATGTGCGTAATTACGCGTTGCGTAATTATGTGTACCATGCACAGACGCATGCTGTGTATTTATGCGTTCTGAATGCATGAACGCCACGGAAAAGTTTGAACGGAGGGGAGAAGAGCTGAAAAGCAGCCATGAACAAACCGTTTCACGGCCGAACAGTATGAACAGATTAATAATAACAAGAGAATTGATTATTAATCAAATGAACTAATTAGTAATGATAGTCATGAACTGATTAATGACAATAGAACCAAAATAACAGTCACAACTTGTGACTGATAACATCTCATACTGTAATGCATACAGACAGATGTGAGTTAAACGGGGTTCCACGAAACAATAATATTCATTCTGTTAAAACACTATGGACAGAATGTGTCATGGAACGAGCGGTCACATCACGTAGATAAAAGCGAATAAATGAGCAGGGTGTTGACCACGCAGCCACAGTGCGAATATCCAGCATTGTCATACCATTATGCAAAGCAGTCGAAGATGCGATACCTCTGGTCGAGTGTGACCTGAGGTTGTCAGGAGGCTCTAAATCCGATGCTCTGAAGGCTTCAGAAATGGCCTC